CGAGCGACCTAGGTGCCTCGCTCCGGGTGGTCGCTCTGGCTGGGAGCGACCTTGGCAGGTCGCTCTGGCAAGTCTCTCTGGCTGGGAGCGACCTTGGTAGGTCGCTCTGGCAGGTCGCTCCAGGATACTCGAACAGGGTGGATAGGCCTCTAGTAAATTGGTCATAACTCCTTCATTACATCTTCAAATGACTTGAAACTACTTCCATTAGAAAGTTAACTCAATTTTCTGTGTCTCCACAAAATCTTAGCAACAGAAGATTTCTCTAAAGGCTCCATCCATGCTCATCTTTCACCCCCTTTTGGATCTCAAATCCACTCAATCACCTCCAAGAACTCCAATGATACTCCATTACCTGAAAAAGACTCATGTATGCAAAATGCAACCTAGAAATGACTAAATCCTAGTCTATATGATCAAAATGCACATGGATGAATGGATAAAACATTGGAAATATGCAAGACATCATGTATCTATCTACTTGTAACAATTCAATTTTTTTTGCTAAGCTCCTAAAAGCAAATAATAGAGATACACTGTAATCTTTTAACACAAAATCAGAATCAAGCGTTCAAATTCCAATTCTCGCGTGGCAATGAGAAGCGTTAAGAGTGGCCAAGTTGGACTCCATTTATCGTATCAGTGTGTTAAAAAGTATGTTATTAAAAACAAAATAGAGGCAAAAAAACTAAAAAGGGCAAAAGAAAACGAAAACCGAACACATGGGTAAGGGAAAAAACAATAAAACAACAAGACGTTTCCAAAGTGTTGTCAATCTAAACTCACTTCCTCGCTTTATTTGAACGTGGAAAGATGGACTCCACTCCTTGCTTTCCCTTCAATCGCTTTCATTGGATGACACTTAGCTCTCTAGACTAACATTAGTTAGTTGTTAGCTTTATAAAATTATTTGATTAAGCTTTCAAGTTGCAATTATTGGTGATCGGTGAGTCTCTTTACACCACAAATCTCATACTTTTATGTATAATATATTACTAACCATGTTAAATTAATGAGATACGTCTTCTAGAGTATATATCTATACAGATGGTTTATTTGAAAGGGAATCTATAGTCTAAACAAATATTGATATGTTTAGATTATATATGCAGATGCTTAAATCAAATGCAATAGCTTTAATGAATTGTGTATATACAATTTCAGTTGTGTGGATGTTGGCGATAGTGATGAATCACGTGGAGGAGCTCACATTCAATGTTGATTTGTTTATATAAGAGGTTCTTGTAAGAGGTTCATGTAGAGTCTAGAGGTTTATCGATATTCTATTAGCTTGTCACAATTATCATTTTTTTTTTGTCACAATTATCATTGGTTTGTTCATAATCAAAGGCCGCCTTGAAAGAGTTAAAGAGGAAGGTTTTTCTGTTATTTCGTGTTCTTCCGTTTTCAATTTTCAATTTAAACAAAAAATTATTTTCTGACCAAGAAAACAAAACTTTCGTTAATATATGTACTCTGCATGTTGTCAGAAGGAAGTAGAGGGATGGTCTAGTTTTCTGGAGATCCCGTTGTTTTGTTACACGTGTACGTATTGGTAACCGGTCCCCGCTTTGAGGGTCGAGCTTTCTATAAGCCTGTGCCTGTCTATAGCATTTTAACATTGACAATATTCACTCGTCTTTTTATATTTTTTACTTTATTGGAACAATTCTCTTACATATATAGAAATGGACGATGCACTAGATACATACAGACGTTTATGAAATCTGAATATATAATAACAATATTATCTATAATATATGCGTACGTTATTTTTCATGTCTGTATACATGAATACATGATCCGTGAAATCTGATATCAAGTATCTTGGGTTGTTAATAAAAAAAGAGTATCTTGGGTAAAATTTTATTACTACGTTGATTCTCTTGAAAGATTATACTTATATTGCAGACAGTGTGACTGGTTAGAATCTTTTTTCTCAAAAAGATTTTACATATATGTATTTAGAATATTTGATATGTATCTTTTATAGATATGGGCATCCTTGATATTATACGAGACTATTAAACTACGAATACTTTAGAAAGATGGGATCTCTGCCTAACTCGTGTTCCAATGAATATATAATAATACTAGTAAATAATTTGTGTCACATGGGAACTCTTGTAAAGGTGAATGCCCTAACAATGGGGAGCCAAATTACTGTATACGTGTCTGTCGAAAGTATCTCAACGTGAATTGAGTAAGAACCAAGCAAATAAGTTTGTTAAATAGAAAAGTGTATTTCTTTCTTTTGGTGAATCAGACTGGTTACCATACCACTTAACTTGAGTTTGTAATATTTTTCAACTAATTCCAGAAGGTAAACCGATCATTAGTTAAATCACTTGAACCGAAACCGAAATTAAAACTGGTCAAATAATGATAATTTAATTTTTAGAGAGAATCAAACCTAGAACTGATATGGATACACACCAGCCATATGAAATTGCCACTAGGCTACTACCACTTGGTCAAGAAAAGTGTAATTTCTTAAACATACTTCAATATTGATAGCCATATGCATTATGTGCAAATCAAAAACATATCCGTCTACTTACGACAGAAAACACATATCAGCTTTACGAAACACATTCGCAACACTGCACATATAGATAGTGGGGATACATAACTTAATAGACAGTATTAGATATTAGTGAGAATGAATTGTCTTGGTGATAAATTAATACACCCTACGGGTTTGCCCTAATCAACATTGTTAAAATGATATATATGATACATTTATTTTGGGATGCGGAAAATGCTTCCAGATTACAATTAACTAGAAGCCCACCAAGTGTTGGATTCACCTTCTCTGATGTTAGTAGTTTCTTTTGGTAGATTAGCCCATAAGCTAAATTTATTGGGTCAGCTTATTGCTCACAAAATTCTAAAGAGCCCATCACCAATAACGCCGTTTCAACTTTGAAAAAAACACTTGCAATGTACGTTACATTGGTTTTCGTAGGTCAAAGCAAGATGTATAGGCTCATCAACGTTAAAGATTTCTTTATTTTGTAACTTTAACAACGGTTTTGATTTTTGAAGATTATCAGCAAGAGCTAACACATTCACCAATTGCACCCTTATACTTGACTCTGATTCTAAGTGGTAACAAAAAATAAATAAAACAGAATAGTCAAGTTGCCACACAAGGACAAAGAGGTTGAGGGAAGAACAAACACATAACAACAGCTGCTAAGATACAATGAGTTCTTTTCTTTAAGCATCTATACATTAATATAGATAATATTTATTGAAGCTAGAGTCTTATGTAAGCTAAACTTCTATAATCCTCTTGTAAGTAAAAAATATGATATGCAATAAAATACTTTTTTTCTTTGTTTTTTTTTTAGTTAAAGGGTTTACGTGACTAAATTAAATGTTTAATAGGAATCAAACATGAACCAAAGATACAAACAAACAAAAAGGAAGATGGTAGAAGAAGCAGAAGAAAAAAGCCAAGATGAAAACTGAGATCAATGTATCACAACTGAAGTCTAAATAATGCCAAACCACCAGGCAAATGACGATGAGATTGTTTATAAGTTTCTCTTCTTCATCAACATAACAAAAGAAAAGTTAAGATTGAAAATTTATTTTATATAGTTTCTTATAGATGTCTAGAGATGTTGCATGAACATAAGGTGAGTCAAATGACTTAAATAGCTCGATAATCACCGTCGGCAAGGTAGTGTTTGCGGAGAGCGGCACAACCACGGAGCGGTTGGTCCCGGAAGAAGCCCATGGCGTTGGCAAAGTGGCGAGTGGAGGCGGCACCGTTGGAACGTGTGAGGATCACGGTGGCAGTGCTGCGACCAGGATCAGGGAATTGACAGTCGGAGATAGGACTCTCGACGAGCACCGCCAGGCATTGCTGGTCCTGTCGGTCTCCTTTGACGGCAAGTCTGTATCTTCCTCGGCGTCCTGTCACCGCCTCACCGACCACCTCCGATTTCAATGTTACACTGTCTTTGCATACTATTTTCACTTTTGCCCCTATTATTCAAATATCACGCCAAAGTTTAATATCCGTGTATTTAACAATGTAACATACAAACAAAATTCGAGTGAGGAGACTAAAAGATGGGAAAAAAGAAGTATAACTAGCAAGCAGAAAGTAAAATCGTTAGTCACAGTTTTAAACTTATTAAGTACAAGTGTTTTTCAAATGTATTGTATAAAATGTAAAACACAATATTATATCGTTCTGCATGTTACTAATCAGATCCAAATAGTTAGTTAATAATTACACAATGTGAAATATACGAGGAGAACGAGTATGAAAATATACGAACCGGTGATATATTTGGTGGCGATTGTCTCGAATCCAAAGCGGCAAGTGTCGCAGTAAACACATCCTTCGATATGAAATGGCGTTCCAGCCGCCATGGCCGCAAGTGGCAGTAGGGAAACGCACATCACGGCGATCAGAGGTACATACGATCTAGCCATCTCGATAAACAGCTAAAGAATGATAGTATAATTTTTGGAGATTGTTGTAACTATTTATGAACAACGTATTATATATAAGAAGGAAACTGAAAAGCACATGTAGTAAAGAAAGGTGCAAGTCTATCGCATCTTGTGCAAAATAATTAAAAGCTTACTTAGTGTCGGCTGGATCCACTCGCGGCTGCTCCTCCGCCGTCCACGGCGATAGAGTTTATGTTTCATCCCCCACAAGTCAACTCTTACGGTTCTTGTTAATTGCAGTCTACGTTTCGATCTAGAGATCTCAAATTTTCACTAATTATTAGTCTAAATTCGTCAAAAGAAAAGAAATCATTATTAACAAAGTTTTCTAGACTGAATCAAGTCGTTGACCAAAAAAAACAATACACGTTTTAACAATTCTTTTTTAGATTTGCACTTCAAATTACCATAATGGGTTTTCCATACTCTAATTAGTAGAAGTGTGGAGCAATTAGTATATAGAGCGATGAAATAGCTGTTCTGCTTCGGTCCGCTCCACCCTCCACAACGTGTTTTTGTTTCATCTTTACGAAATAGTGCATTTCAGTGATTTTGTATATATATTAAATCATTATTGTCGGTTGATTGTGTACAATACTATTATTTAGTTTAAATAAGTTTTGTAAAAGGCTATTAGTGTACTGTACAATATGGTGTTTGACTCTTGAGCTAAATTAAATACATTTCTGACTTTGTTCCTTGGCTTATAATAACAAAAAAAACGTTAGTACTTGGAAGGTGAAAGTGACCGTTGGATTACTAATAGTAGAATATACTGGACGTGGTCCTCTTGTCAGATGAAGGTCGGTCACATTAGCAACAATTGATGTTACAAAATAGACTTATTGGGCCCAAATATGACCGACGTAGGCCCGGACAAAACCATGGCAGCTACTACGCGTCACTGGTCTTAAATAAGAACAAAATAGTCTACAAAAGAGAAAAACCAGAGAGCGCCCACGTCTCATTTGCAAAGTAAGCGGTAGGCTTCTTCACCGTGAAGCAAAAACAGTTGTTTTGGTCCAAAGTATAAACACAGATTTTGACAGAGCAGAGGGATATACAAGCACGCTCAAAGTAATTCTCTCTCAACAAAGGTACACGCTGTCTTAGGTTTTCTATTTTACATAAATCTGAAATAGTTTTACACCCGAAGCCTCTCGGCCGGAGAGAGTATTAAGATTATACAACGTACACCCTTTACAAGGGGGATAATTACACATCTTGTTTTTCTTAATCATAAGTTTTGGATTTTATTTATTCGCCGATTAAAGGTGTGACTAATTAAGTAGTGGGAGCGTTACCGGAAGATTGATGTCGGAGATTTGTCCAGGTGACACCTCCATATCATCAGCTTCAGCTCTCACAAGTTTATTCTTCTCCATCTGTAACATAAATAAAGATTAGGTCAAACTCACTTCCCCATTAGAAATAGTTAAAACCCTATTCACTTCTCTCTCTATCACTGTCTTCCTATATTAATTAATTACCCAAGGAATATTCTTTTCCTACCACAAATTAAACTGATAACCATTATGAATCTTGCTTTCATAATTTGTATTTCTGACTTTTGAGCTTTTAATTTTAAGTTTGCAAGCATGTATCAATCTGCAAAATAGCTTTCTCTACGAGCCTACAAGCTTCGTTTTGGTTTAGGTTCCCCAGATCATGTAATCTTCCCTTTTTCAAGATACATAATTACCCTTGAGTAAGTAAAAGTAGCACTATACAAGAAAAAACCATTAGTTACCTGGCTAGCCAAAACATGGTTCTCCTCTTCCAGCAACTTCTCCTGTTTTAAAGATCAACACATCATTTTACTCATATATAAAGTTTATAGACCTAATTTCAGATTTTTGAATCTGATTCAAAATATTCTAATGATCCTGAAAACTGAAAAGACTAAGATCCATTGGCAATAGGTTTGAGATAGGCTTGCGACCTCATGAAGCAGACTTTGATAAACCAACACAACACGACTATAATATAACTAAAGTGCTATAAACTTGGACGCATATATCTAACCTTTTCTTTAAGGTTCTCGACAAGCTTCAACATTAGTTCTGTCTGTAACAAAGTATTTAAATATAAGCGCACGGTAGTTCTTGAAAAACAATGAAAAGAGAATACATCACGGAAGCAACGTACCTTCCTAGCTCTTGTTACGGAGAGGGCGTTCTCAAGGTGTTCCTCAAGCTGAACGAGGGAACCGACACTTACATTATCGACATTTGATTCCTCAAGCTTGCTGCATATATTCATAGATTGACAAGAAACCCTAATTCCTTTGTGATCAAAGGAGAGAGAAAAGTCTTAGTTAGTACTAACCTTTCCACAAGTTCCAGTAGTTCATGGTGTGAACCACAGTCCAGAGGTTTTGACTGACGATTCTGTCCATGGAGAAGTGTGATATAAGCTTTGAAATTTGGTTATGCATATGGATCCATCATCTCATATATAGGGTTCATTAAGGGAACTAATAGATAACGCAATTCCTAGAACTAGATCTCCACAATTTTTAGGTGCTAAACATGTGTTTACCCACTCCTATTAAACAACTAGTCCTAAAGAATCATCAATCTCTATACAAACAATTTGATGATCTTTAAAACAAACTTTGATAACTACAGCTCCAAAATAGTAATTCTATGTGTGCCGTTAAGAGTGTTCGTGTCTCAAAGCTACATGAATTGCTACTGATCGGTATGAAATTATCTAGGCCTTTAGTAAATTTAATTCTAACAAACTGCATCAAATAATAGGTTAGCGTCGTTTGTATTACCAAGGCTTTAAGATCATCATCATGTTGCTTTCCATATCGATCAAGGATCTTGACCAGGCTGGAGAGAAGACAAAAAAAAAATCAAATGATTTTAGGATCAAAACTACCAGCTAACCCTTGAAAGCTGCACTGGAAATTATGAAACACGTATATGGCACAGAAGAGACAATTAGGGACAAAAGTTTAATTTGCACACATATAGCTTTCATTAACATCCCAGAAAACTAGTAAGTCTAGTATTTAAGTTTTTAGCTGAAACACATTTCTTATTTTATAATTTTCACTCTTAAGCTTTCTAAGCAATATTTTAATTGTCACATGATCTTTTAATCTCTTCCAAGGAAAAAAAACCTCTAGTACTTACCACGATTTACCCTAAGTTTGGTTGTCTCATGTATATAATAAACTGATATAATGAAATAGAAATTCTCACTAGCTCTAGGAAAATTTGTAATAAACTTAAAAGATTGCACATGTTATTAATCCATTTCTAACACTGGCTTCGATTCACATTAATGTAAAACTAAGGTAACACAGGAACCCTAATATCAAAGTGAAGACATTTTGCTTCAAAGGCACCAATTGTTTCTTTTCCCTCCCACACGTTTTGTGCTTCAACAATTTAGTAATCAGAAAACTAGAACATGGAAACGCAATGTAAATGTAAACAAACTATTAAGGTAATCCATATAAGCAACAGCTAAATATAGACACAATTTCCCTATTAATGACTTTATAAAAGTCCAAGCAATTTGAAAAACATTTCCACTAATTCAACAGTTTTGTGTTAACAGGTTTCAATTCCACCGTGAAATTAAGCACTTCTTAACAAAATGAAAAAAATAATGCACAAATGTGTTATTGAGTAACGAAAGGTCAAATTCCAGTTTTTAAAAGCCTTTCTTCTTTTGCTCACACAACTAATCTGGACTAGCTATTTCAAGGCTGGACCTAACATTCAGTGTGAGGAGTGAACAAGTATTAATTTAAGTGAGACATGACCTGCGATCTTCACTACATCGTCAAGCCACAGTTGCTAATATTATAGGGTGATGTAGTACACTACAAGGGGTTGGAAATTTCTCAATGAAGAAACATGTTTTTATGAGGTGGTTGGTTTCCAAAAGCACCAAAGAAAATACGCTATGTTATTGTCAATTACCACAACAAGAAACACAACGAGATGCAAGATTCTGTGATTGTACATTTCCATAACAAAAGCTACAATGTTGTTGGTTGTCAATTCAAATTAACAAAGCCTCAAAGTTAGACTCAAAGCAACAATCCCATTACATAATGTAGCATATGCATGTGCCGTAACTACGATGGTGCGAAACTAAAAGCTTGGGATAATCTTATAGCAACAAATCAATAAAAGGGAGAGAAAAATTCTAGAAAAACATTTATACCTAAAATATTTTAGTCACTAGTTGCACACTTGCATACCTATGAACCAGACTTGTAGCTACATGGATTTGCATTGCATTGTACGAAAATCCAAGCGAAATTTTAGTTCAATTAGTCTAAAAATGACCAATTAGTTAGTGTACTTATGTGTGGGACAAAGAGTTATATATGCACACAACGATTGCAATTAAAAGAACGGCAGTCCATACTGGATCAAATAAGTAACTAATTGTGAGTCTGTGTTTTCTAGAAGCTACCAAAATTCAAAAGTACTATGTATATGCAAATTAAAAATCAGTTAGGAACCTTAATTTTGGTAAACTTCAAGTAATAAATCCTGGTAAGGGGAGAAATGACTAGATTCATCATCAGTCTCACAGCCATTCTATAGATCTCCCCGAAGTGCATTTCATTGCAGACAAATCTGAGAGATCTGATGGATTTAATTATTCTCACAAAACTCTTATGTAACAAAAAGAGTTCCTAAAGCTAAATACCAACTGATGAACTAACAATCAAAGATAGATACACACTTCACTAAGTAACATCAACGTGTCAAAAAGATCTAGATGGACATGCAAATTTTTTACAAACAAAAAAATCCATGCAGAAAAATTGTAAGAAGAAGAAGAAGAGAAGAGAGAGAAAATAAATAAAGTAAGACGCTTTAGCTCATCACAACATTGTTCTTCATTTGATTTGGTTGTCTCATGTATCTCTCATATGGCCATAGAAAAAACAGTAGCAAAACACAAACCGATAAAGCCACACAAGATTCGCAGGAAATATTTTTTAATTATCTGAAAAAGGGTTAGTAATTAACAAAGGAAAAAAAAAAGGAAAACTCAGAAGAAGAGGAGAAGCCGTACTTATCACCGGAGGAGAAGCTGTAGAGCTTTCCAGAGGCGGAGACAACAAGAAGAGCAACGGATGCGTCACAGAGAACAGAAAGCTGACGAGCTTTCTCGATGAGACCGTTGCGTCTTTTGGAGAAGGTAACTTGTCGGCTACTTTTGTTCTCAATTCGCTTGATTTCAAGTTTCTTCCTCCCCATGGCTTCTGTTTCCGACAGGACTTTGTGCCCTAATTTGATCTTGAGGTCCGGTTTCAACTAGCCGGAGATACTGAGCGTTTTATTTTTCTTCCTTTTTTCCTTTTATTTCATTCTATTTTTGTGTCCATATACTTCTACTTTTTTTTGTTCCTGGGGGCAAGGGTTTTTTTTTTCTTCTTTTGGGGTAAACGAGAGAGATGAAAATAAAAGAGAAAATATGTCAGTAAAAACGATGCGTTTTATTGACAGAACTGCCACGTGTATCGCATGACGAATTACTCGCGGGCGCGTTGCTCCTACTTTGGCTATGATATATATTTCTTCAGTAGTAATTGATGATCAGATGATAAAAGATAGAAGAAAACACAAACAGGCATAAACGCATTTAACAAATCTTCTCAATAGAAATTGTAAAGTTCAACGTCTAACTAAATAAGTATGAGGTGGAATTTATAATTGAGATTCAAACTTTTATAACTCAAAACGAAATTTATAGTAATTCTCATAATATGTGCTACTATGTATTTTTACATATGATAAGTTTTCCTTCATTTAGCATTCTTAAATTCACACTGAGAGCGTAGCTTACACTTTGACCTGTGAAATCATCTTTGCTTACGAGTACTATAAACAGGTTAGGATTCTCCAGGGGAGACGCACAACCACCAGTACGGGGTCATTTGATTTTTAATTTTTATGTGGTAATTTGTAAAAATTTTAAGAAATGTTCAATCTAGAAAATTATACAAAATGAAAAAAGGGTTATGTATCCCCGGTTAACTACAGTCCGACATCCGTTCCTGAAATTGTCTAAATTAAATACTATACTGGATTATATCTTATTGTGGAGAAATTTAAACACATAAACGCAAACAAAACAGTGAATTAATTAACAATTTAAGCATATCTAAATGTTGTTCTTCAATCTAGTCATTTTTCGATCTTTCTATTAAGACTCATGATCATTACGACTTGATAGTCACAAACTCGTATAGACCTACAAATTTACAACTAATGTTTTAATAACTTTTTTTTTTGTACTTGGCTCACCTAATTTACCAAACTTACAATCATTTTAAATTGGTCAATTTTCACATATCACAAAAGTCTACTAAAAATTTCTCAGAGATCGAACCAAAAAATAGTTATTACTGGACATGAACCATAAGTTCATAAACATCAGTGAATAGTAATATCCTACGAATATTAGCACCTGTCCTAAAGAAAACAGGTAATTTGGTTTGGTCCATTCATAATAATCACCATAAGAGTTAGAGAAAATAGTATAACTAAAATATGTTTGTGTTGGGCACTAAATAAGACACCATGATTTAGTTTGTTGTGTATTTATGTTTTCGTTCAGATGATGTTTACCCAAAAAAAAGCTTTTTATTTTATCTAGATTATTAATCCTGAAAAAGTTGGAACCTTTTAATATAAAAATGTGCATAAAGTCCATGATTTGCTATAACCGGAAAATTGTAAGTTGATAGACGGTGAAAAGAAGGTGGGTAAAATAGCAAAATGTTTTGGTAACCCTACGGAACGTTCCTATAAGTCTAAGCGTATATAAAACTATGCTATAAATTTTGTGGCAGAGATATGATACTATACTATTTGTTTTTTTAGAACTTAATGCGAAAAGTACTTTTACGAATCGATTGGGTGAATGTACGGCATGGTTTATATCCAATCATCTCACTATCCTTTATCTTTTCTGGATATGCAATTATATCCTCTATTATTTAGAGGCATCTCTACGTTTAAATTATCACCTGCTTAAATCCTTATAGTTTCAATATACAGCTTTAGAAAACGTCAAATAATACTCCTAAACAATAAATTTAATTAAGGGCCTTAATTACTGAAATAATAACCTGATTTACGGATTATCACTTGTCTTTTAATAAACAGGAAAACATTTTCTCTCAATAAACAACATATATTCAGTAGTTTATTCATTTTACATATACACATTATTTTATTTTTACATATTTATTTTATTTTATTTTTATTAATTTGGGTATCTCAAATCTATGGAATGATCCATAATCTCTTTATCCTTGGCATGTCTATAATGCGTATATCCTTAAACTATTTACCTATACATTTTACAGAAAGAAGTAGCTAATACTTTAATTATTATCAAAAAGCTAATACTCTGATATATCGAAAGAGATAGTTTTGGTGTTGTTGACAAAAGTAAGAAGGATTAGTATAGTTCTCAAATGAAATATAATATGATTTTATTTCAAAAAGCTACAAATGTGCACATCAAACCTCACTTTATTGATGATTTTAAAATAAGGTGGAAGACAAATTCAAATCAGGACGAGATACCAATATTTGGCTCGAAACAGCATGGATGACATTTGTAAATAAGAAATCAACACTTACATTTTTAAAACGTAGTTATTCATTAAAACATAAAAAAGCCAAAGCAAAGCGGATCTTAATTGCTAATTGATATATTCTTCACTTGTACTCGAGAATCATGTTGTTCTCTGGAGCAAGTCCGACACAAGCTCTGAGTATGTTCTCAAGCATTGCACGCTGTTTCGACAAAGCGTTCACAACTGGTGTGCCGGGTGGGACCTGCATTCAATAAAAATTCATAAAAATTTAAGAGTAATAACCTCTGGCCACGATGTTTGCTTCGTTTGGCTTACAATTGGTGCCTTCGAGAGGTAACTTAGGATGGTAGCCACCGGATGGAAAGAATGGAACTTTCCCTGCAACAACAGAAAAAAAAAACCCAACAAATCAAATGCTTCGAGTGTTTTAAACACATTTTGGTGGACAACACTATTCGGAACAAGTATAAACCTAAAGACAAATGCAGACACAAACAAGCAATGGATGCCTAACTCAGAATATTATATTGGCATGACTAAATCATTGAGCAATCAAGACAATAACAAAACCTCATTTTCGGCCTTGAACTGGATCCTAGTGGTGAGTTCTGCGAGAAGAACAAGGTCCAAAATGATAGCAGCAGCCAAAAGTGAGTCTTCACAAGTGTTGTGCATCACAATTGTGTTCTTCCCTCCCATGAATATCTCTGATGTGTACTCATTCATTGCTCTCTTGGAGTCTCCTACGTATGGCACATACTGCAACACAATCCAATACATTATTTATGTATATATTCCAACTTTCGTATTATAAGTATTAATATATATACGTATAAACTTAAATTTCTATGACTTTATAAAGTATAAAAATGTTACACTTCTGTTCAATCTACACATATTTAGGTACGAACTTGAAATCTATCAACATACTATAGTTTACTTGCTCTATAATTTAATAGAGGAACATATAGTTAAGTTGGCCAAAAACAGAACGAATAAGCAAATTCTAGGAAAATAAAGGAGAAAATATTTGGGAACGATCTTTAAGTTTATCATGACACTTTAGTTTTAAAAAAATTGAAGTCGGCCTAATAAACAGAAAAAAAAAACAGAAATTTTTAGCAAAATATAAGATCCAGCAGGAAACTATTTGCAGGAAGATCAATTTAACCAAAGGTTTGCTATCACTTTTCAGATTTTTAAATGATGATAGTTTTCATAAATACGTTAAATTTGTGGTCAAAATATTAAATTAACTTCCTAAATCAGTTTATAAACCAACCCACCACTAAATACTAAGCAATAATCACTAAACCCAAAACTTAATATTATAGTATTTTTGAGTAAATATATTTTTTTAAAGTGAGAACCCATTTAGGATAATTTAAGCAATTTCTCAAATATTTGGTAATGGACCTTCTTTAGTTTTGAAAACTAGCCTAGGTAAGTTGTATGAAAACTCCTAAAGGGTTTTAGAAAATAACAAATAGGTAGAAAAATTGTGTTGTTTCTGGAATTTTCTTTTGCTGTATGGTATTTTGGATGATAATAGATGAACTCGTTAAAAGGAGTTAAATCATAATTATAAACATGTTTTAAGTAATATAGTATAATTAATCAGTAATCACCTTAATGACGACAACATGGTCAGGATGTTCACCGGATTCGAACAGAATACCGTTGCTAGCAACCATATCGTCTACGACATTGCTCTTTGATATCTCCTTTGACCGAAACGTTTGCGGCGCCGACAAATTCATGCCGTCGTTGTTCCCGAGGTGATTATAGCTCACTATCGACGTTGGCTATATTATATAAATGCAATTAGTTTCATTTTGTAGTATTTTGATATACTATAAAAATGGATGTTTAAGAATTTTTTTTCTTACTTTGATACCAGCACCGACAAGGAAATCGACGAGGACAGATTTCATCTTTGTCTGACCACTCTTGAAGTCATCACCACCAATCAAGCTATTTCTCTTGATTGCCAATTCAATAAGCCTTGTAAATATATGTACGTTTTAATTTAATTTAATGTAATTAACACTAAGACATTGACCGTGGTTAAGATCACTATCAATAGTTTTAGTCAATTACCAGGGACAAAAGTGTTTTGTGGGCTTCCATTGAGAAAAGGAACGTTCTCAAGAACACATGCATTTGCGTAAAGTGTAGAGGGAGATATCTCAGACTCATTGTTGTCCAAAGATGACATTAGATTCTCCGTCGTGTCGTTAAGACCAGCCACCACATTGCTGTATCTTTCTGTGTTGGCTCCACAGCACCACCACCCTATCCACTTTGTTTTTCTCTTTGAAATCCCTGATTTATTAAATATTTTTTTCTCTATAGTTAATGATCATGCCATATCTAATGAGTTTTGGAGTTTTATAGCGCATTAGATTTTCGGCCCCAAAAGTTTTATTAAATAATAGTTTAGATCTTTTATGGTACTAGCTTTTTATACTTCGTGATTATTTAGATCCTTGACCATAGCAAGTTTGTTACACTCATTTCGACCAGTTGCACTTATTAATGAATAGTGAGTGAAACTAATTAGCAAATTGTAGACATAGACCGTTTTGTCACGTACCTAATGTCCTTGATGACTTGTTCCAACTGTTGTTTCTTGGTTCCTTTGATCAAGTGGTTGGCACGTGACCCCTGGTTAGCAGCGATGAAATCTGGGTCGTAGATTCCAGGGAGGGGAACCATGTGTTCCATGAATGGACGTAACTGCTTTTGGAGGTCGATGTCTAGGACCTTGGCTCGTGCCATCGCGTCTGCTAAGTTCATGTCGCTTATGTCCCATCCCCCAAACACTATTTCTTCCGGATTCACCTATCATATTACAACCTTTAGTAATTTGTTCCAAATTTTAGCAAAAGAAAACAACCTTTAAAAACGTGTATTTGTTTTATCTTATTAGGAATATATATCCCACATCGGGAATTCAATGGGACCTTAAGTAATATAAAGGGTTATGGACAATCTACTTATCACCAATTGGTTTTATGTTAGAAGCCCATAATAAACCCGAAGCTAACATATCTCCATCTCGGAAGAAGCTACTAATGTTTAGAAACATTTCACTTGTCCATTATAAAAGTTATAATTTATAACATTGAGAATTGTTGTAATTAGACTTGAGAATATTGGCTGAAACACTCTATCAGCCTCCCATATTAGTGAAATGTCCATGATTTGACATTAATAATTTTTAAGACCAAATTGCCCTTCCTTTTACATGTGACTCTTTCTCTCTCCTGACACTCTCTCTCCTGACATTCTCTCTCTCTCTCTCCTGACACACTATCTCACACTCTCTTTCCTTTAATTCCTCTTCTTTCTCATTCTCAAACTCTCTTATCATTTTAATTCTTTCTTTTTTTTTTGTAAAAATTTATTGTTGCGAAAAAATTTATTACAATTTTATTATTATTCTTTTGAATCTAAATTATTTTAATTTCACCACATTCTGAAAAAATCAGCATTGAAGTTTTTTTAAAAATCGCCGAGATGTTAACACTTATGTTAGCTGTTAACAAATAATGTAGATGTCAACAAAAGTGTTAACTGTTAACAAATATAGATGTATTAACAGAGGCATTAACTGTTAACAAATTTTGTAACTGTTAACAAATGTGTTAGCTGTTAACAAAAACATGTATTACAAGTGCTAACAGAGATGTTAGTTGTTAATAAATTTTGTAGATGTCAATACATGCGTTAGGTATTATATATTAACAAATAAATATTGTTGAAGTTTCATTTCTCTATCAAAATGAGTAAATTTAAAATCATTTACAAATAAAATTGTAGATGAGAAACAAAAATCAAGAAAAAAAGAAAGAAATGAATGTGAAAAAGAGTTATGTGAAAAATATGTGTGGTTTAAATAAAATGAATGTAAGAAAAAGATGAAGAATCGTTGGAGAAAGAGAGATGTCAGATTTTTCACATGGGAAAGAGAAGGTGAGAAGGGCAAAATCGTCTGAACAAGCCTAAATTATATAAAACTTTACTTTTATGTTCCATCATGGGTAATTGCCTAATATAGGCTTCAATTTTGGGCATTTGTCTAATTCTCTCATTAGACTTTAACACAGAAGACGTTATTTATACATAAATCAATAAACAAATTTAGTATGGTTTTACCATGGGAAGAAGACTTTTGAAGGGAGCATAGATTTCTTCGCCATTAAATGACCCGACCCGAACCGAGGATGCTTGGGTTAATGGCCGAAATAGTTAGCATGTTGCACTTTCTCCTTCGTAGCCCAGGATATTCCCCTGCCACCAATTGATTTATTTTTATTTAGAAAACATTAAATAAAGAAATATTAAATATTAAATAATCCCAAATTGTGCATTATTATATGTCCAGTTGCACGAATATGAATAATTTATCGACCCACCCGCAATAAGACAAACACAACTTATTCTCTTTTTTTTTTTTAACAAAAACACAACTTATTCTTTTCTTTTTTTAACAAAAACACAACTTATTCTTATTTGAAACAGTGGTATTATCCCGAACGTAAACAATTGATGTTATTTTTTTTTAAAAAGAACAAAACAATTGATGTTGATAACGAATTTTTTTTTTACTCACTCGCGATTGGCGATAACACCAGCGGTAAGAGTAGAACCGTTGTTCCCTCCCCAACCAAAGAGCATCACTCTGCCAAAATAAGTTTAGACAAAGCATAAACATCATTTGACAATAAACAAGAAATGAAGAAATATATAACTCGTATGATACAATTATTAATCTAAGGCCAGAATTAGAGAAGAACACACACCCAAGTTTGGGAACATGAGTGTCGGCTTTAAACTCGTATTTTACGGTTTTTAGCTTCACGGTCCATTGATACGCACCATTCTTGCTCTCGTGAACGAGCTCAGTGGTTTGGTCGTCGTACACTGAATGAATCTCATTTTCTGTGTACTTTACGTTTGGAGATTCAACCTTAAAGCTTTCGATGAACATTTTTTTCCTAATATTTTTTTTTTCTGATGGAAAGCTTGTGAATGAAAGATGCTTCTGAATGCCTTGTGATCCGAGACCAAGCTTGTCTTTTATAGACGAGATGAATATTAAAAATATCATTGTTTTCTCCAAATATGTCAATATAATTTTCCTCCTTTTCTGTTCAACTTGATTTAAAGACAAATGTCAATGTATTTATTTTCGTTTTATGGGACTATGACAAGTGTAAAATGACTAAATCTATTAGATATGTTCTTAAGATTTTTTTTCCTGTTTTTATTAGATAACTGGAAGTTAGTATATTATGGAAAAGAAAATTTAATATAGTGGATATTACACACGAGTCATTTTATTGTTGGGTGGATTTTGTTGGCTGACACGCCTAGTGTCAAACTAATGAAAAGTTACTCAAAATACTTTTAATGTAATTTATATTCTAGTTTTTTTATAAAAAAATATTTTATTTTAATTTTATATATTTTTAATTTTGATATATTTCAATAATAATTATTTCAAAATACTCTATATTTTTACTTACATCAATCTATCAAAATGGGCAGTAAGGAAATAAATAAATTGCTGAATTTCGAACTTTTTAAAAATTGACGAAAAACATTTTTGTTACTTGTAATATTCCTTGCGGAAAATACCAAGGCCCACATATGTGAACCTCTAAAGCCCGTATAAAAGAGGGTTTTATTTTAAGCTTTAAGTTACAATTTTGAAGCCCATTTAACTTTCGGGAGATTTTCAGGATCTACCGTGCACGTGTGTGAGCAGACGTGCGAGTTTGTAAAATGGAACGTGGTTTTGTTTACGTTTGACAGTTAGGTGAGTGTTGCTGACAACTATCATTCGCCAAATCCACGTACACTTCGATTTTTTAGGTAAAAAGTTATTGCTCTGAGTAATCTTTCAAACAAAAAGTTTCTTTAAGAGTGCACACTAGATTTATTGACATTAATAACAATATAATTTGAATTCAGCTTTTTTCCTACACTATATTAAGAGTTGAGAACAAAACAATTGGAGATGAAGAAAGCATAGACTTATCCAAATCGAAGCATACGGTGGACCAGGCCCAATTATGAATATGTGTATATTTACAATCGAATATAACTTAGTTCTTACTTCTGCTCCAAATGAAAAATACCACTGAAAACTACCATTATTAAACTATTAGTATTATTATTTGGGTAGTAGGAAAAAGCTTCGCGTGCCCATGTTTACTACACGTGCCATCATCATGCATTTGTCTTCCATCTGATGTGTTTCTTTTCCTCACAAACTACATTTTGATTTCAAAACTTCTCTGTACCTAATAAAGTAAGAATGCTAGAGTGAAAAATAAGTTGTGTCCGAAATGCGACGGTTATGGAAAATTACAATTCGACATGCGTATATTTCACATATGAGAAGCATTTACACATGCAATTTCATTATCAATCATATCATATAGAATAGACGTGTATATACAAGTTATTTTGGGGCTGAAACATACTAAAACAGAACTAATATTCAAAGGATACAACTAATTACTGATATATTGATCTGGCCTACTCTAATTTGCTCAATATATAGTTTAGCGGTTATACTTTGACGTCGAGTTTAAGTTAATTAGCTAGATAGCCTAATTTTTAACTACATTTGAGGGAGTTTCTAAATAAATAACTAAATTTGCTAGAGTGTAAGTAGATATATATATAGCCTCGTGGATTGGGGGAAGAAACGTACGTAATTGCTCCTAGAGGCATCTTTTGTGAAGAAGACGTAGACACATTTATTAAAATATATGGTGAAATGACCGCATGTTATTTTGAGAACATCACGAGAGAAAACAAATACGAGTTATAATAAGATTTGTTTTCCTTCTTCTGTGAATCTTCTTTTCTCTTATTACAACGTTCGGATTAAAAGAAAAACACTATAGTGTGCAAACAAGATTTTGAGGGATTTGACTTTGGTCTAATTTGGACCCATGAAGTTCGATGCACACATATAGTGTCTTCTCCACTTGGTCGGACCAAGACAAAGACAAAGACATATCATCCATTGGCTATCTCATAACCACTTCCCTTTTAAAATCCATCACACGTTCCATCATTGGCGTATCTAAAAGTCCAATGAATCATGTCAATTTGTAATCCATTTCAAGTATTAAAACTTAAAAAAAAAAAATTGATCAAATTTTGTTTTTTTTACACCTCATAAAATATGTTTCACCTATGGATCACATAAAACGTGTAGGCTTCAGTTCATTTTTACCTACCACGATATTCCCCAAAAAAACCCAAGAAAATGATATAATAAGTACGTGTTTGGAATGTTTGAGCTAGACAGTTCTGGGAATGGGTTTGAGAAGCTTTGTTTTTATAATTTTTGCTTGACACTATCCAAAACTAATATTTTTGATATCTTGAAACTGGAAACGCTTGGAATGAATAACTAGTACCTCTGGCTCACAATACGAATAACCCATGATATTTCATTTCATGTACAGGAAAGTATTTTTTTGTACAACCTTCTTTCAGTATCATATATTTAACCTTAACAAGTTTTTTTTTTCCGGAAAATAAAACACTTTTGTGCTTTTAGTCTAATTAACAAATAAATACGCACCATGAGATCCCACTAACTACTGTGTATATAAACATTATAGAATCGGTCCATTAACTTCAGCATCCTCACACTTTTGAATGCTCAATCAAAACTTCACTTCATAGGTAAACTACATCGCAGCCACATAAATTGAGAAGAAGATGAAAGAAAGAGATTCAGAGAGTTTTGAATCTCTTTCTCAAGTTCTCCCAAACACTTCAAATCCGGGGCACATGATCCAGATGGCCATGGCCAACTCAGGTTCATCTGCAGCCGCACCTTCCGGTCAAGACCAACTTGACCGGTCAAAGTTGCTGCTTGAGTGTCATGAACCACCTAGCCCGTGGCATGAGCTTAAAAGCCAAGTCAAAGAATCTTTCCTAACCAAAGCCAAAAAATTCAAGTCTCTTCAAAAACAGCCTCTCCCAAAACGAATCCTCTTTATCCTCCAAGCCGTTTTCCCAATCTTTGGCTGGTGCAGAAACTATAAACTCACCATGTTCAAGAATGATCTCATGGCTGGTCTAACCCTAGCTAGCCTCTGCATTCCCCAGGTATATATGTTTAACAAAAGATGAATAATAATCTTTTTATCCGCTTGGAGATCTAACTTCTTTAATTTTCTATTTCTTTTTGAACAGAGCATTGGTTATGCAACTCTTGCAAAGCTTGATCCTCAATATGGCCTATGTAAGTTTATATTATGTATAAAAGCTAATAAGTCACGTGTTTTTTTTATTAGTTGGTAAAAAAATATTATGTGTTGGATACAAAAAAATACTAAATATCACTGATTTTTAACTATACTTATATATGGAGCGTTACACCTTTACAGATACGAGCGTGGTGCCACCGTTGATATACGCATTGATGGGAACATCAAGAGAGATAGCAATCGGACCAGTGGCTGTGGTATCTCTCCTTTTATCCTCAATGTTGCAGGAACTCATTGATCCAGAAACAGATCCCTTGGGCTACAAGAAACTCGTCCTGACCACAACTTTCTTCGCTGGAATCTTCCAAGCTTCTTTCGGAATATTCAGATTAGGGTTTCTCGTGGATTTTCTGTCGCACGCAGCTATAGTAGGGTTCATGGGTGGTGCAGCTATTGTTATAGGACTCCAACAGCTTAAAGGTTTGCTTGGTATCACTAACTTCACCACGAACACTGACATTGTCTCTGTTCTTCGAGCTGTCTGGCGATCTTGTCATCAACAATGGAGCCCCCACACTTTCATCCTCGGATGTTCTTTCCTCAGTTTTATCCTTATCTCTCGCTTCATCGTAAGTAAAATTTAAAAATTGCTTTTGTTGATACATCTACGGCCATATGAAAGTTCACGTGCTTATGTTTCAAGCCAATTAGCAATAATATAGGGGAAATTTCAGTTTTACCACAAATTTATAATGATATATATACTATAAATAGATCTATGTTAAGCTATTAGTTTTCTTCACGTTTAAAAGTATACATGTTTAAAGGATATTTGAGGGTATTTCTATATTAGAAATGGGTTACTAAAAGTGTTAGATTTTTTTTTTTTGAAACACTCACTAAAAGTGTTAGATAATAGTAACAATTTAACAATGGAATATGTGTATTAGGGGAAGAAAAACAAAAAGCTGTTTTGGCTACCGGCAATAGCTCCTTTGATCTCTGTCGTAGTGTCAACGTTAATGGTGTTTCTCACTAAAGCTGACGAGCATGGCGTGAAGACAGTGAGACACATAAAAGGAGGTCTTAATCCCATCTCAATTAACGATCTTGAGTTTAATACTCCTCATCTTGGACATATCGCTAAAATCGGATTAATCGTTGCCGTTGTTGCTTTAACCGTAAGTCATTAACCTTATGAATGATAACTACTTAGATTTTTTTAATTATTTTTTATTACTAATTATGTTTCTAAACATTTTTATCAGGAGGCCATTGCGGTGGGGAGGTCTTTCGCCGGAATTAAAGGGTATAGACTTGATGGAAACAAAGAAATGGTGGCCATTGGATTGATGAATGTTCTTGGTTCCTTCACATCTTGTTATGTTGCTACTGGTAATATATCACTATCCTACTATATATACGATTGAAATAATAGTGTACTTACTACTCATAAAAGTCATTTTGGTGGATTAGTACACTTTGCTTACATATTGTTTTGTAAACTTCCTAGCTAGATATTATTACAAATAACAAGAAAAATAATTTCAAAAGGTAGAGGATCACCACATTTATAATTAGATTTATATAATTGATACAACACTTTTATTCATGTGTATACGCAGTAAATGTAACTGTGTATGTAAATTATGTGTGTTCTGGCTACCTAAATTTGGTAAAATCGTTATCTTATATATATATAACGACATATTCCTATAACAATTTTGCTTTAGGTTCTTTCTCTCGAACGGCGGTGAACTTCGCTGCCGGGTGTGAGACGGCGATGTCGAACATTGTAATGGCGGTTACAGTTTTTGTAGCACTGGAGTGCTTAACGAGGCTTCTCTACTATACTCCAATCGCTATCCTCGCCTCTATAATCCTTTCAGCACTTCCAGGATTAATCGACATTAATGAAGCTATTCACATTTGGAAAATTGATAAACTGGATTTTCTTGCTCTCATTGGAGCTTTCTTTGGCGTTTTATTCGGCTCTGTCGAGATCGGACTCCTCGTTGCGGTATGGATAAACCTAAGTGTACAAAAAAAAACTATACACAAATGTGAAGTTCATAAAGTTATATAACAATATACCTTTTGATGTTATTTATTATAAATAGTTTAAAATGATCGAGTGTTTTGTAGGTGGTTATTTCGTTTGCCAAGATCATACTCATATCGATTCGACCAGGGATTGAAACGCTCGGAAGAATGCCTGGGACCGACATTTTTGCAGATACTGATCAATATCCTATGTCGGTTAAGACTCAAGGAGTGTTGATTTTTCGTGTCAAGTCTGCATTGTTATGCTTTGCTAATGCTAGTTCCATTGGAGAAAGGTATTGATGTTATAATTAATATATGGGCTAATTACAAACGTAGATTTTTTTAGTACATATATTTAGCATCTACGCTTTGCTTATAGGATAATGGGATGGATTAACGAGGAAGAAGATGATGAAAACACAAAGAGCAACGCCACGAGAAAGATCCTCTTTGTAGTCCTTGATATGTCAAGTAAGTGGAATTGCATACCAATACACGATATTTGCTTACCATATCTTATTATTAAGAAGATCCGTCTAGACCAAATTCACTTATTTTCAAAGTATTTTTGTTTCTTATGATTAAATAATCATATGCATTAATACGGATAATATGCATTTATTGTTTTGTTTTAACATTTTTCCTTTTTGTTACTTGATAGATTTAATAAACGTTGATACTTCGGGTATCACGGCTTTGGTGGAGCTCCATAACAATCTAATCCAAAATGGTGTTGAGGTAGATAACATTCTTGCAAATTTATAATATTCCCATATTCTATAAATAAATATTTTTGAACTATATAGAAATATTTAAAGATAGAATAAATATCATTTTGGATATTTAATCTGCAGCTGGTGATCGTTAACCCTAAATGGCATGTGATCCACAAGCTGAATCAAGCAAAGTTCGTCAGCAAAATCGGTGGCAGAGTCTATTTGACAATCGGAGAAGCTCTCGATGCTTGCTTTGGATTAAAAGTTTGAGAAACATAAGATCTAATCACCATGCGTGTTTCAGGGATTGCTGCATGTGAGTTTATGTTAGTTTTAGTAATTTAAATGCGACGTGCACAATGATGTATAATTATTAAGTACATTGTGTGATGTAGAGACTAGAGTGCCTTGGTACGCAAGCTCGATAGTGATTAAATAAAGTCATGCAATCTGTAGTGTGACGGTCGATGGGTGTGTAACTTTACTCGGAAACAATGTAATAAATATATATAAGTACTAATGTACTAATGTTAACGTGTTCAATATGATCAAATGTCATGTCTACAAAGTCCAGCGCTTATTGGTGGTGATTCGTTACTAATCGTCTAAGTTCAATGTATCTTAATCCAAGGAGAAAAAGTATATATGGTGAATCAGTTTAGTTAAGTGGGGGGGGGGGGGGGTTATGCTTTATAGGG